CCACGGTTCAAGAATTTTTCTTCTATTTTTAGGAAAAATATATCTCGTCGCGTGTTTATTTCCANNNCCATTTCTTTTTTTTTTTTAACAAATATTTTCTACAATAATTCTTTTCTGTTAAATAATTCAGAAAAAATTATCCTTAACACCCTTTCGATGAATCGAAATTTTATTTCCGCACATCGGAAATTTAATCGATAGTGAATGGATTTTGGATTAAAACAAACTAGGTGTATACCGAAATTTCTCTGGCGGAAAATTTGTTAAAACCCAATAAAGCGAATCGAGGGGAGGAGAGGAACGATACGATGTGCAAAAATTTCCAAGTTTTTTTTTTTCCTCTTCCACGAAGGAAAGAAGGAAGGAGGGACGAAATAGGTCAGTTTTTCTATTAGCGCTAACCAACCGAATGATAATGGCAATTTCCATGAGAGAAGTTACAATCAAGCACGAACATTGCATCGCATTATGCGGTATTGCTAACCGGGGAATCGTCTAATCCAAAGTTGGGGCGGGCCAGATAGCGGAATTAGTTAATATGTAAAGCAGCCACGGGTGGAAATTCCAGAAATTCCTTGTCGCCCGAAGTTCCTCTTTTCGTTTCAACCCCCGACGTCAACCGACCCCTTCCCCCTCCCCTCCCCTCCCCTCCTCTCCCCTTCCCACCCCTTCTCTCTCTGATTTTGTTTGCATTTCAACGCGATTCCCTCCCGTTTACGAAAGCGGCGGCGAGTCGTTAAAAATGAAACCCGGTTACCCGAGCAAACGTTACACCTGAGTATTTAACTATACATTAAACCGCAAGCTTTGCTGAATGTTTTCGACCACTGGAACGCCGGCTCGTCGCTTCGTTTAGCCAGTTTTTAAAGTCAGATTTATTATAACGGGAGAAAGGTAATAGGAATAATCTTTTTCCCTTTTTTTGCAGAATACTACAGAAAAGGAATGGAAAATCATATTTAAAAAAAAATATTCGAATATTCTATTCCCATATATCGATCATATCGATCATAGATGCGATCCTAAACTAAATGTGAAAAAACTTCATAATGAAAAATGTTACGAATTGTGTACCTCGCCATAGTAAAAATTAAAAAAATAAAAAAAATATTTGAAAAAAACTATCCGATCTCGCG